CTAACGTACTGGTTTGCCCAACTTCCTGTACATGTAGGCTTTAATTCCCGTATCACAACAGTCAGCTTGTTGCCTTATTGTGGTGGTGTGTTGTGTGTGTGTGCTGTGTGTGTGTGTGAGTGCACAGGTATGGTTGTATTGTCATCACCCCTCCCTATGTGTCTTCCATCCCGTGAGCAGCCCTCTCTTCCCAATCCCCCATTTTCCTTTCTGTCTCCCCCCTTTCTTCTCCCTTGTGGTAGCAAGTTAGCCTTTTAGTGTATTTATCTTGAAAACCAAAAAAAAAGAAAAAAAGAAGAAAAAGTAACTCTACTTGTTCATTGTACAGTGTTGTTCATTTTAAGTCATTTTTGTAACTGAAAGTGTTTCATTCATCCAAATAAAACAGGAGACAAAAACTGTACAGATGATCCTCCCCCTGCCTCTTGTCTTGTTTCTTAGTCTCTTCCATCAGTTTCTATTCTGTGTTTTTCCATTTTCTTCTTGAACCTCAGGTTTAATTTGGTTGGGAGAAAAGTCTTCTATCGAACAGGAAATCAACCTCAACTTGTCATGTCACGTTTTAACCAGAGGAGGGTGCTGTTAGACTTAATATCTTTCCCAACAGGAGCCGGCCACTCCTGGCTGATACTTACACTGCTCTTTGACCCTCTCACTTAAGGAGAACCACAGTCATTGACAATAAGGAGTGTAAAAGTTTTACAAAACAACTAATGAATCCCTAAATAAATAGACTCACTTACTATGATTTCATTAATTTATATTTAAATGAGCCAAGAATGAATTAATGTAATATTCCGTCAATAAAAAGGTAAAATTAAAGAATAATATAACAGTGAATAAATACACTTTATTTTTTTAATTTCCCATTTACATTGTGTATATATATAAACAAATGTATATATCAATCCATCAATAAGTATATAAATTAAAAAGGGATTTTTATTGGAATAAATTTATCATTAAGATAATTGTATATATACAAAAAATTCAAAATTGTTGCCGGTTACTGCTTCTAAAATTTCAGATTTTGTTGATATTGTTTGTCTTGCATTATAGTAAACTAATTATCTTTGTATTTTGGTTTGTTGGTGAGACAAAACAAGACGACAGATGATGTTGGTTTTGGCCGTAGGAGATTGTGATTGGTATTTGTTTTTTACTGTATTTTGGTGTTGAATAGATCAAACGATTAGTCGATTAATCAGCAGACAAAATCTCACATTGCTGCAGCACTAGAGCATACAATATTTTATTTCATTTAGAAAATAGCACTGAGTAAAACACTTTTTTTATGGGTAGACAGTCAACGCAGTATGACACTGGTGCTATGTTGATCAATACATCAATCAATTCTAAAATGTTGTCGACTGACAGGAACTCATGTAGGTGAGAGCTCATCTCAAGTCTCATCTTGTGTGGAGCTGCCCTGGTAGCTAACCTTGTAGTGCGTCCCTCCCCCCATGCACAAAGGCTGAGTCCTTACCCCAGTGGCCCTCGTTCAATTCCAACCTGTGGCCCTTTGCTGCATATCATCCCCTCTATTCCTCTCTCTCTCTCTCTCTCTCTCTCTCAACTTTCCTGTCTCTCTTCAGCTGCTCCTGTCTAATAAAAGACCAAAAAATAACATAAAAAAAGCCATCTAAAGTCTCTTCTTGTGTCCCCACATCCTGGAAGTTCTCACCCAGCAGACTTGTTGGTAGGGAGGGGAGAAGAGGAGTCGGATCATCTTCATCCCTCCCTCAATTCATTTTCTCTCAGCTGAGTCAGAAGACATCTGCTAATTGACAAACAGCATCACATACATTTGGCCTTATCCTCTCAATCAGAAGTGTATGTGTTTGTCTCTCTGTCTGACTGTTTTGTTGTCTCCGTCCTCCTCCTCCTCCTCCTTCTCCACCTCCTCCGGCTCATCACCCTCCCTCTCTTGTTAACTGCCTCTCCTTCAGTCTGTCTCCCTCTCCCTCTCTCCTGCTCCCCCCTGCTGTGTGGCACAGTAGGTGGATGATTAGGTAGGATGCTGGAGTGTGTAAGTGTGACAGCTTTCAGACACCCACCTCCGAGTTGAGTCACGGACGGCGGTGGTGAGCATGTGATCCTATCACCAGGGTGACTCGGGTAGATCTGTGTTGCTGTGTTGTCGCATCGATGTGTAACATTTGTTCTTTTCCAAAGTGTAGCCATGTTGGAGATCTGTTTTTCATATTGATATATCTCTGAAATCCAAACTGTAACTTTAAATGGATCTAATCGTTCATCACTTATACATTTACTCCAGTAAATTAAAGGACATATTTGTAGTATTTGTAGTTTGGTTTTATGTTACTTTGTACTTCTAATCGATTACATTTAATGGGGAATATATAGTATTTTTTACTCCATTGCATTCATTTAACATCAACAGCTACTACCTAACCAATCCATTACTATAACACTCATTAGTTTTCTGCATAATGAGTATGTAGCTATTACAACTTCTGTACTTTAACTTGTGTAAGATTTTAAGTGTTTTTACTGGTTATTTAAAAGATCTGAGCAGGGCCATTGCCAGGATTTACTGAGGTAATGAGTCCAATCCCCCCCAATGTACCCCCCACTCCTACCTCACCTCAGGAAATGTGTTCATCCTACAATTAAGAATGAATATTTTTCATATTTTATATTTAAATGTAAAAATATAATCTCTAACAAAGCTAAACCACCCAAAATAACCACTATGTGTGAGTTTCAGGTTGAGCTTTACGGTTCATTTTTAATCTTGGAAACAATAAATTCTTAACTCCAGGTCCACTTACTGTTTTTCTTCCATAACTGCATTCGTGTTGATGTTTTCTTTTCAGTAAGATGTATCGTACTCTCCAAATAGATGTTATTTTTTTTCTCCTTCCAAAATTCACAATCCAAAGTACTTTTCTTAGATCAAATGTTGTTGCTATGTAACAGTACTGAGTCAAAATGTCATGGTATCTCCAGACAGTTATAACAGGAAGGAGCAAATTATTTGCTGTGGCACTGATGGGCATCATAACTTTCCGTGTGCCATTGTTGGAGCACTAAACGTTTGACATCATCTTAGAAATGACGCCCGTGAAAGTCACTCTCCGTGACTGTAAAAGCACACTATGGCATGAAGCGGGTAACTGGAGAGCAACATATCTGGTTAGGTGAGGAGTCAGTTAACACAGTAGTAATTCTACTGGCTTTGGAAGAACCCCAGTAAAGGTGGAATTGGCCACGAATAAGGCCTCACTGTGTCAGTGGTACGAGAAGACAGAATGCCAGCTGTCAGTTTAAACAGGAACACTGCCAGTGTGTGTGTGTGTGCGTGTGTGCGTGTGTGCATGTGCGTGCATGCGTGCGTGTGCGTGCGTTGCGTTTGCGTATGTGTGTGTGATTGGTGCCACTGAGAGACAGTGCCAGCGGTGAAGTGGCACTAGACAGATCTGGTTTCCCTCCCTGAGCGTATGTGTGTGAGTGTGTATGTGTACGTTTTGTGTGTCAGTATAAGCTACTGTTGCCTCACCCATCGACCTCCTGCCCTCTACCATAAGCCACACATGACGAAGAGTGTTGGTGTAACATGTTAAAGTGCTCACAGAGAAAGCTGAGTAACTCATTTTTGAAAACAATCTTCAGACGTATTTGGGTTTATTTTAGTCCCTGCAAATAATTCAGCTGGTAATTCTCAGGTCCAGACTTGTGAATTGCCTCTTAGCAGTCACATCAACTCACAAGTTAACATAACTGTCAGGTATTTATGAGGACTGTCCAGTACAAACATTTCACAGTAATTATCTTTTTAATGTATTAATTAATTTTTAATTGTATTATTTTTATGTATTAAAGTAGGGCTGCAACTGATGATTATTGACTTTTATTTTTTTAGGTTAATTGATTATTTCCGTCTAAAGATAGTCTGACAATTATGAAAAATACTCATTATAGACTTGAGGTGATGTTTTCAAATTGCTTTTATTGTAAGACGAACGGTATTCAATTTACGATTACATAAAGCAGAGAAAAGCAGCAACTTTTACACTTGAGAAGCTAGAGCTAGTGACTAAATAACTAAGATGATGAATAGAATATCCTGTCTGTATCACTATTATCAGTGTCAAATTTAAGCTAAATGCTCAGATTGCCAATAAACACTAAAAAGAAAAGAGAGGGATCTAATCTTCATAAATCTTTCATATGTTTGAGTGATTAATGGTGACAACAAGTTTTGAATTTGGTCCAGTATTATGTGAGAGCGCTGCAGCCTGCAGCCACTAGTCCTTGTGCACCCTCAAAATACGTCTATAAGTGCTTGTTTTTGCCACTGACCAGCTCAGATTGTCATTGTTTTTTACAACATTATGGGGAGGAGCCTACAGAAAAATTCAACATTTCTGGTACCTTTGGCTTAATCTGGTCTATGAACTCTCCAGGCTGCTCTCACTTAATACTGGACCGAATTCAGAACTTATTGACCCCATTAGTAAATTTTACACCGAAACATGGGATAATAAGGTTGAAAAATACCAAAGTTACCCTTTAAAGATTTCCTAATACCCCAAAAATGTTGTTTCTGCTCTCCTCCAGTAGTTTAACTTCTCACCTTGCTGCAGTAATGTGGAAGTGCACTCTAGGACTCTGTGACATCACTGTGGTCAGAGGTAAAACAGGAATGAAATTTTCGACCAAAAACACTTCTTATCAGCCTCGTCTTACTCTTTATAGTTACCTATTCTCTGCAGCTGAAGTTTTACTTCATAATATTAATAAATATACACCTCTGTCGATGTGGTTGAAGACAATACCATTGTTTTTAGACCTTTAACTAAATTGTGTTTTTCTAGCTT